TTTTTTTTCATGTATTGTAAAGTTGTGTGAATTTTTCAATAAATTCTTTTGTCAAAACCACTTGCAATCTGATTCATAGCTGAGCGCCTTGCCGCCGGTTACAGTCGCATGGGGGTAAGTTGGCAGTAGAGTGTTGATAAGTTGGCCGACACCCTACACCAATTTTGGGGTCACACATTCTTTGTTCTTACCTTCTCATAATATCAGCAACTTTTTAAAGTCATTCCCATTTACTAATTTTCAGTTCAAATTAATGTTATTATGGTAATTAATCACCAGCCTTGATTGTATCTATATTTATTTCCACAAACTTACTTCAATCTTCTCATGCTTTGCATCAACAAATGGACCAAGCTTTAGACAAAAAACACAGTAAAATTCAAAACAAATCCAATTAGAAAAATATAATCCATTACTAATGGAAATTTAAGAAAATTTATTTTTCTACTCACAAGTATAAGAAGATCAGGTTGGTCCTTCTTTATGACTGTAATGAGATCATTCAGAGGCTCATAGAGGAGATTATCGGATGTGGTAAAAGGACCTGCGACAACCATCATACTAAAGGGACTTGAAGATTTGTGTAATTTATCATTGTTTTTGTCCAATGCAGAGTAAAATGGTAACTGGACACCCTGTAAGGAATGTATTCAATTCAAAAATTGAAAATATCTGAAATGGGAGATTAAATAAAGGATGGGAATTTCTTAGTGGTTCAACAAAGTGGATCTTTTTCCATTGATGGAGGGAAACTAGAGAAAAACCCCCAAAGCACAGGAGATTATCAACAACTCCAGGAATGAAACCTGGGTTGCAGAAGTTTGACAAGTGTGTTTGTGTAACAATACAGTATGCAGTAAAGACATCACTACCTCATAAGGCAAAACAATGCCAAAATAAAACAGATTTTTATGGCCACTAGCATGGTAATCAAGAACTCACATTATAGATTTGATTTACAACAAATTTTTGTCCTGTGCTGTTCAATCCCCTTGCAGCAATAACCTGTGGAAATGGGTAAAAAGAACATCAGAAAAAGCATTAGCATCATTCTTAGGAGTAAACTGCTTATTTCTATTGAAGAGAGAAGCGAGCTTTAGAGCCCTGATAAATACTCAAAGAGGTTAGGACTTTACCATATTGAATCAATGATTTATGTCATCAAATAAGACATATATATGGTAATTACAACACTTCCTTTAACTTCCATGATCATCTTTAGGCCTTACATGTAAACTTATGGTCATTACAAATTTGAAAATGAGCATTTTGGGTAGATGAAACAAATCATTGATACAAGTTTACAACACGTATTTGATTTAAGATCAGGGTTCGTGCTGAAGTAACCACTTAAAATTCAAGGACTATTCAAGGAGTATACCAGGTCCCAAAAATGAATTTTCAAGGGGTATGTTCAGCTAACTATGCCAAGGTTTTACATGGTGATTGCATATGGCCAACTTTCAGATTTTCTGATCTTTCTGACTAGATCTATGTCAGAACCATGCAAGTAATGACCAAAGCAAAAATCCAAGGAGTTTTCAAGGAGTTTCACTATAATCATAAAATTCAAGAGCTTTTGAAGTGCCCTTGAAAACGTGAATTAAATTCAAGGAGTTTTCAAGGAGTTTGAGGAGTAGCACGAACCCTGTAAGATAGAACTTACAACTTTAGATTCTACACATGAGGGGATCAAATCCCACCTAGTGTGGTGAAAGGCAGCACTGCTCCCCTCAAGTTTTGTTATTTACCTGTCCAGGAAATAATGCAAACTGGTGAATGTTGGACAGGTCAACCTTTACTTGCTGGCCTTGAGACAAGTCAATGGAGCCTTCAAGCATTAATGAACTTGCATTCAGTTTGCCAACAGAATCACAGCACACCATACCAACTGTATTGATCTCCACCTAATGTAAGAACATTAAAATGCATTAAAAACATATGTCCAGGGCTAAAAATATTGGCAGATCATTGGGCAATATCTGGCCAAATTGGAACTTCTACGGTCAAGTTTTTGCCTTGACGGTCATTTTGGCCTAAGGTAGTGATGAGCCAGAAATAATCAAGGTATGGCACACCTAAAACTAATTTGGCCAGTCATGATGACTGGCAGCGCACTGACCAGCAAATATTTTTAGACCCGTATGTCAGTTTAGTTTCCAGCAACCTTATCTTTAAATCTTATTGAACCCTGAAACAACCTCTGGGATGATAAAAATCAGGCATGATAGTTGTACAGAAATAATGATATTGAGTAACCAATTCATTTGATAGTCCTGCACTATTATTGGAAAGGTACGGCATGGACGCTTTTTGGTCCTTACTTGATTAGAAGATGCTGCATTGGAGAACTCTTCAATACCATGTTCCTTCTTTAGTCTCTCAGCCATCTCATCTATCATGTCATTCAAAACTGGAAAATATAATATAAATAGGGATGATTAAAATTCAAAACTTTTGTACTGATCATCATCGTCATCACAATCTTCACTACTAGCAATAATTATCAGCATATCAACCACCAACCATCATAATCCATGTCATCATCATCATCAGTTATCATAGCCATTACCTTCATCATCTATGTTATCACTATGTCATCATCAGTGGTGCCACCAACATCATCAGCATCGAATCACCAACCACTACTATTTTACCATCCATATACAACGATATAACCACCCCCCACCACCACCATCTAGATTATTGATCATCAGCACCACAATCATCAGCATTATCATCCATGTTATCACCTTCACCACCAGCACAATCCATAACATGCACCACCACCATATAAACTGTCAATAACATGTACAAAATGTTTATAATCTTATAGTATACAAAGAAAAATTATTGCTGGTGATGTTGGCCTTACCATTAGCTTTATCAGCCTGTTTCTGAAACATATATTTAAACCTCTCAGTCAGTGCTATCTCTTTGTCGGCAACATCAATATCTAAAGTCACACCAGTGCCATTCCATGAATCCTTGTCAAGTGTTTTACCATTAGGGACAAAAGAACAAACAGATTCTCCAGCATTACGACGTGAAGCATACTTTGCTGAGGGAGTGGCCCTAAAATGAGCAATGAAGCTTGAATAATGTTTCCAGCACATATAAATCTTCCCCCTATGGAGTTGTACCCAAGACACCCCCAGGGACCTATAACCCCCCCCCCCCCCCCCCTTCCCCAACTAAACATTAGTTCATTATTCTAGTTAGAGCAAATTTTACATGAATGTACTGCATTTAGAACTGTGAATCTGACTGAACATTGTCTGATGACTAGCCATTATCTTAAGCCCTGTGAACTAATGACTGTAGTAACATACATAGCTGGAGATAAACTTGAAGGAGAGAATGGCATTGGACCTGGGGTTCTGGTAAGTGAGGTGTGGCGCTTGTTAGTCAGTACTTCTGGTGTAGTATGAATCCTCTTTTTCAATAGTTTCTGCAAACAATAAAACCAATTTCGAATTCAGCTTCAATTCAGATGTACCTCAAACATAAAATCTTATTCCTAGGAAAAGGAGTTATGAGTTGAAATGGGATAACATTAAGCTCAAGCAGGGCAGGTCAATTTTATTTGTGGCAAGTACACAGGAATTCATACCCTATTATCTGGTGTTTCTGCATATGAGCTGAATACATCTACATCTTCTTCATCAGGACTCAAACTTGAAAAGTGGGTTATGATAAATAACAGAAACATAGGTAACTATTCTTATAATCATTCTATGGGGTCAAGGGCTCAAAAATGTTAGCTTGGCATTCTAAACTTTAAGCTGTAGTTTCAAAGAACAAAACAAATAAAGTTCTTGTCACATGTGGAATCAAGTGTGGCATAGCAATAGTGCACTCGCCTCTCAACAACGGGGTCTCTGGTTCAATTTAAAACCATCGCTCCCTGTAATGAACTCTTCCTTAAGTTTTGCTCCCAACACACTACCACTACATTCATTCACTAATTACAGCACACAAACTCAACTCAAATGTTGATTATGATACTATGACAAGAAAGCTGGAGGACAGTATCATGAAAATAGACTATTTCTTAAATTCCGAAAAAATTCCAGTTACACGTACAACATTGCAGCCCTTGTTAACAGGATTTCAATCTCATGGAGCAGGAATAAACATAGGATAAAAAGGATACAGATTATCCAGATCATCTTTTGTGTACATACGAGGAGCTTCATGTTTATTGAACTGTGTTTGGTTCTTCTTATTACTTTCGAATAATTGCTATCAATAAAAAGTAATGAAAAAATATATACACATATTATCTATCTAATGACTGTGTACTGTGGTACAAAAATGCTTGTGATTACAGTGTTGTTGGCTCAACACTTAAACTCAGTAGCGTAGCGAGGGGGGGCACGAGGGGGCACGTGCCCCCCCAAATTTTTAAAMAACTTTTTTGAAAAAAAAAAAAAAAACGAAAAAAACCAAAACATATTAAACCAAAACGAAAGAGGAAAATAGATTATTGCAACTTAGAAAAGTGCGCGGCTGTATAAATCAGTTTATACCAATACGAATTTGTTTCTTTTTTGTTTGCGTGTTTATTCGTTTATTTGTTTTATGGGAGGAGGAGTAATTTTTTTTGGGGGGGGGGGGGGGGGGGGGGTCAGTGCCCCGCCAGCTCCTAGGTCCTCGCTACGCCCCTGCTTAAACTGGAAATATTTTTATTTCAGACCATGAGTTGTTCCATTAGAATGAGATCCTTTGAATGAGTTCTATTAGAGTGCAAAATAATGGCCTGCCAATATCTAAAAAGCAGGTCAAATTTTAGGTGCAAAATGGTAAAATAATTGACAGGGTAAATTTTACTCCACCAAAATTAGGAAAACTTTCTGGTCATTTTTTATTTTCTATTTTGAACCCTGTATCCTTATACATGTGCCTTCACTAGTGTTACTGGTACACAAGGAAATAATACTAAAGGGAATGACACATGGTCTGAAATGGGGCAACACAAATTAGGTCTGAAAAAAAAAGGAATAAGTTGTTCACTTTTAAAGATTTTCAGCAGAAGCTTACTGTTCAAATACTGAAAATACATGGTGCTTTTATGACCATGTAATGTCAGGTCTCTCCGTACCACAAGTTTCTTATGGTCATATGAGATGTGCTTATATCATTAGAGTAGAGTATCAATTTACCTTGCGTTCGAATTCTTCAAGAACATCTATAGTAAGATCTTGATTCGTTAACGTTTGTGCAAACGATATCCATTGACAAACCAAATCCTCAGCAGTCAGTCTACACCCATGGCATATTTCTTTAACTGTTATAGACATGTCAAAGTCAACATTGAATAATATATTGATTTTCTACAGATAAAATACTTAATGCCTTATTTGGAATAAGAATGAAAGTAAGAATGGTTGAGAAATGGTAAGCCCCATGTACTTTATTTCACTATTGGATTTTTAAAAAGGTGCAAAATCACTCCCCCCCCCCCCCCCCCCCCCCTCCCCTCTATCCAGTAACCTATTCTGTACCAATAATAGCTCAATCCGGAGCTCAGTCTTTATTAGGTTACCTTTTGGTTTCAACAAGATAAGAAATAATCCACTTTTTGCTATGAAATTAGAAGCCTTTCTCACCATTTTTAAAACGTTTGCTATTAAAAATGCTCAAACAAAAAAAAAGGTCAGGTAGATCGAGAGAGCATTCGAGTTTGAATCTCAAGTTCGTGGTCAAAACAAAACACGAAAACTTCCAATTTACCCTTGAAAAACATAACAAAATGAAAGTAAAACGCTCACGTTTGTCTAAGATAGCTGGATCTTCAACGTTAACAGCAAATTCTTCAAATTCAGTTTGTAATTCTTCATCTGTTACCTCCACCATCTTGTCGTCACTTGATCAAATGTTTTTTGTCCCGCTAAAATTTACGCGCCAAAAGAAACAACCCACAATGCAATGTGTGCCTTTCGAAAAACCATCGGCTTATGATCGTTTCTTAACGAAACAATCCGATTACTTCCGCGACTTCGTTAGTTTCCGGTAAGTTGCCGAGAGGTACTGGATCGTTCGAAATCGGTGATAAGTTCGTTGTTGTCTTGAAAGCTTATAGTCTTCTAGTGATCTTATACTTTTAGACCTACAAATGGCTGAAGACGAGCAGGAATATTATGGTTATTTTTATGGAGAGGAAGATAAAGGGTTGCTTGACCCCGCGTGGGAAAAGCAACAGAAAAAGGTGAGAGATTTCGATAGAAATTTTGTGCAAGGAGCTGAGGCTTGTCCTTATTTTCCTTGGGGGGTGTAACTTGGTTTTCGAATAGATGTGCAACTACTTTTCTCCGGTATTCTTAAGTGTGTTTTGAATATCACAGATAACTCAAATTTCTTTTAAAACATTGATTAGCTAATCGTTAAGCTTTGTTTGTAGACTTTTACGGCCTGGTGTAACTCGCACTTGAGGAAATCAGGAAAGGCTATCGAAACGATGGAAGAAGACTTCAGAGATGGGGTTTTACTATTACTTCTTCTAGAAAGCCTTTCTGGGGATAAGTTAACTGCAGAAAGGGGAAAGCTACGTTTTCATCGTATTGCAAATGTTAACAAGGCATTGGATTTTGTAGCGTCTAAGGGAGTGAAACTGGTCTCTATTGGTGCTGAAGGTAAAGAGTTGTGCTAGTACTCTTCATGTGAAGTTTCGAGTGAGTGATATAGTGTGCTCATAGGCTGATGAATTAATTCTGTTTTCTCAAAGAAATCGTGGATGGCAATCTTAAGATGACATTGGGTATGATCTGGACAATTATTCTGCGGTTTGCTATTCAAGATATTGCAATCGAAGGTAATATGTTAGACTTTTATTGTAAAAAATTTAAGTACAGTAGCTACTTTCCCTTTCTAAATCCACCACAACCAAGGAAGCCAAAAGTTGTAACGTGAGCTCTGTTTTGTTCATGTTTTAGATTCATTTGCCAAAGATGGATTGCTACTCTGGTGCCAGAGAAAGACAGCTCCTTACAAGAATGTCAAAGTTACGAACTTCCATACCAGGTAAAAATCTAGCAGGATATAAAAACCCTTGAGAACAAGTTGAGACCCGAACGATGTTCAAAGGGTCATGGTTAGTTTTGTGTCGTTCGAACTGGTACAAATTGAACAAGTCGTTTTGTTTTGCTATCTAAAGTTGTCAATATTGATTGATTTTTACAGCTTCAAGGATGGTCTTGCATTCTGTGCCTTGATTCACCGGCATAGGCCTGATTTGATCGAGTATGAAAAGCTAAGGAAGGTTAGTAATATCGATTGTACTAATATTTCCTGCTGCAAATTCAAAGTAACACGATAGCAGTCTTGACCGTAGGAATACAAGTGATTTGATAGACAGGGTGTGGTATGCACTCATAATTTCATTGTTAGCGTGTCATACATTACCGAAACCATGCTTCTATTAGATTTCTATTTACCCTTTCGATATATTCATTTCATGCCCACTTCCATAATTTAGCTGAGGAGCTATGCTTGTTCGATTGTGATCTATATTTAGATGTCAGATTAAATCTAGGCTGACAAATGTCGAACATATTTTTGGAATCAAACTTGATTATTACGCCTACTGCGAACCTGGCATGCATAAAATATGTTTAGAACAACAGACAAATTGATTATCATGTTTAAGTTCAACGTTTATATACTTCTTTCTCCTAACAACATCTTTCGTCACGATTACTACCTAGTATAATGTCATCAGCTGATATATAACAGCATATTTACGTTGTTCAAATTTTATTGTCAACTCAATTTCTTTAAATTTAAAACGTTGATTCGTTTTCTCGTTATTATTATTATTATTATTATAAACCAAATCCTTAGATGATGAGTAATTTGATTGTAGATATTTAAGTGTTTTGATGTATTTCTTGGGAATTAATCTGTTTTAAAAATACCAAAAAAGGTAGTGAAATTACGATTGCATTGCGTGATATGCTAAATTATGAGGTAATTCAATAGGAAACACGTCAGTTCAATTTGATTCTTGACAACAAACCTTGAACACGATAACACTCAAAAGACTATTCTTCCATATTAAAGCAAACAATATAAAACATCCTAAAAATGCATGAAGTTACTTAAATATGATTTTTATGCGTAACCATGAAACAGCTTTGAAACTGAAACATTTGAAATGACTAGTTTATATTTATTCATTTTAATAATTACGAATATTTTTGTGCTCAAAGTTTATTAACTTTACTTCATTATTGTTTACTCAGGAGTTTGTCCAAAGTATTAATTTCTATTTATTGTGTTTTTGACCTCCTCTGAGTTAAATCTTTCTTTTTTATTACATATATACATAACGTTTTTTTTTTTGCATCTGGTCATAGTTAATTACTCATACTTGCAAATAATTATAATAAATTTTAATGCTTAAAACACATTTTATTTATTCTTTATTCCCCTTGTCTTGATGGGAATAATGATGGGAATAATCTTGTTTTTGTTTTATAAGATATGCTGATCACTTTGTATAATTCCCAAAGAAATTCCCATTCTGTATCCAAGAAAAACAAGCATAAAGATCTGATTTTATTGCTCACAAGTTTCGAATTTTATTATTTTGTCCTCTAAATTTTCAAAATTTATGAAAAGGTATTAACTTTGGATTTGACTGTCCAATGTGACTTTATTATTATATGGATTAGAATCTGTCTTGTTATGTTGTATGAAATAATTATGACCTGAATTACATAACGTCTTGTACTAAATCATTTCATTACAAATAATCCATAAACAACAAATCTGTTAAAAAGTTAACTAACAAAATGTACAAAAGTTTTGTAGGTCTATGGCCTACTGAGGTGTACTGAATTTACTAATTCGTGCAGTTTCTTACAAAGTTTATACCTCAGTAATATGGAATGCACTCTATGACACCATTTAAATAGAACGATGCAGATAATAACACAGCCTTTATCTTAATTATTCAATCCTTATTTTTCTAGATAAATTACTAGATAAATTACTTAGATATTCAATATTATGACTACTGATTTTAAAACTAAACATAAACAAAAAATTATAATTCTATGTTTATAAGGGAATTACCACAATTCACTTAAATATTCCTCTCAAAGGTCATTTATCTGACCTTATCAAATATTTTAACTTGTTATTTCAATCTGTCCTCTGTATAGAAAGACATTTTTGACAAACAATGCCTTAAATTACAGTTATACATTTTATTCTGTTAAAACAGCCCTTCACTTATATTTAATATTCAATAGGGTCAACAGAATTTAATAGTTCTAGAACAGTTTTATTGTTAAATTTGGAAGGTGTTAGAATATTTAAGTTTTAGCTTTTTTTGTAATTTAAAATGTTATATTTTCTTGTTGTATATGCAAAATTTGCCTATAAATTTAGCTGTATATTTTTTTAAATATAGCTATGATTGTTTGAGCTTTCCTTTTTCGATTCATTTACATATATGATCATATATTTATTCACTCTAACTGCAGACAATATATATGATTTGATATTTAAAGAACTTAAAGCTATAAAAACATTCCCTAATCCTATCTACTAATCCTAATCAAAAGTATAATCAAGACCAAGTAATTGTAGATTAGCAGATCAGAAGACACACACAAGGGGTATTGAATGGATAAAAACTTGGCTGTATATGACTAGATATTGATCCAATATACAGGCATTGTTATTATGCATGTTTAATCATAATATGTTACTTTGCAGAATAAAAATAATGAATATTATTAATAAATATTATTGAATGAGAGACAAGTGAGAAACTGAGGGGTGGGAGCCCAGGGGCTGAAATTGTTCTATTTACTTTAGAGTGCTCGGAAACAGTTTATCCTATTTTCCCCAAGGAAATAATGCACTATTTAGTAAATTAAAAGAACGATAAACAAACAATTTTGTTTCAATTTTAGGATGATCCGATGACAAATTTGAACACAGCTTTCGATGTTGCAGAAACTCATCTTGATATTCCAAAAATGTTGGATCCTGAAGGTATAGTATGTTGTCAAAAACCAGTTTCAATGTTTAATAGCATTCATGGACAGAGAAAAACAGAATCAAGGGAGAGACGTTAAACGAACTCTGCTCACATGTAATTGGTTTTCTTTTCCAGACATGATAGATAATGAAAGACCGGATGAACGTGCTGTGATGACGTACGTCTCCTCATACTACCATGCGCTGACCAGTTCCCAACAGGTAAAGCTAGTTATTTCTTCCTTATACTGTGATCACCCTAGTCTCCTACGCAGCCTATGGTTACTATGGTTACCCACCATTCTTGAAATCATGGTCTTTGATACAATCTTTGTTCTCTTTTTTCCTTTACACAGGCTGACACAGCTGCCAAGAGGATTGGTAAAGTTTTGACCATCAACCGTGACAATGAGAAAATGATGGAAGATTATGAGACCTTGGCAAGCGATGTAAGTAACACTCAAGTTTAAATTTCTCTGATGCTCACTTATAGGGAATTAAAAAAATTGGCAGCCAAAGACTGCATGTGGTTACTGCAGTTGAACATCTAGTAACTGTAGTAAGTTCTAAGTTCAAGCATGAAAATGTAGTTTTAGACAAAGCTGAGTCTTCATAAATGTAGTATAGTTGGCATTATAACATTATAAACAACTTTTTTGTGTTGTGATCCCAACGCACATAAAAATTGTTGTGTGGCGGCTATTTGAAGAATAATGCCTTGGACAATTTATTATTGATCCCACGAAACTGTGACCTGTAATTGACCTGTAAGACTTCAAGTCTGACTTCAAGACAAATCTCCAATCAACTACTCCGATATTCAAAAAAAATTCAGTGGAAAAATTAGGTTTTGAAGCCTCTGTCATGATTGCTTGTGAAACGTGTTACAAAAGAATTCATTTCCGAACCACTTCACTGAGAATGAGGTTGGAACTTTAGACAAAGCCACCAAAAGTGCAATTAAAGCATGAGATACTGGTCACACATGGCGTGAATTAGCTAAAAGAAAGAAACTAAGAAATAAAGTTTTCACAAAGTTGAAACTTAAAACTGCAAAAACGGAATACCTCATCATGTGAAATTTTGCGATTTTTTTGAAACACGTTTCACATGCAACATGCAATAGGATGCAGTAGCCACAAAATAGTTTATTATTTAAACTGACAGTTTAGCTAATGTCTTGTTAAATGAACACTGTTGTTATAGCTTATGGACTGGATCAACAAGACGCTTCCTCGATTCAAAAACAGGGACAGTGATGGTACTCTGGCTGATATGCAGGTAAGACAAATACTGCTGTCATTAGGGATGAGAAATACTTTCCCCAAGGCAAAATCTTTGATAGGTTGTTTCTCTTTATAGATGTATTTAAAAACCTTAGTATACAGACAGACTGTACAGTATTGCGCTCAATAGCACCATGTGTAACTGCGCTTTCACTTAAACTACACAAGTATTTTTGAAGGCACTCTACGATAGAAAATAAGTATAAATGATCATTATAACTTGTTTTAATTCCAATGACAGAAAAAGCTAGAGGAGCTAAGGAACTACAGAGGAGGAGAAAAACCTCCCAAAGTGGAAGATAAAGGAGCTCTGGAGACCAACTTCAACACTCTTCAAACTAAACTAAGACTGAGCAACAGACCTGCATTCCTTCCCACTGAAGGCAAAATGATCAACGACATCAATGATGCTTGGGGAAATCTGGAAGCTGCAGAGAAGGACTTTGAAGACTGGCTGCTAACAGAGATGAGAAGAATGGAACGATTAGACCATTTGGCACAAAAGTTTAAGCATAAGTGCGATATCCATGAGGCTTGGACAGATGGTAAAGATGTAACTCTTTCCAGAGATGACTTTTCTGATGCTTCACTGCCTGACATTTTGGTGAGGAATAAACTAAACTTTGACAACTGGCCAAAATTTGATCAATCTGTCAACAGTCAATAATTGCTTTTATCATATGACCCGTATCTGCCTGGGCGTGCGCTCTTAAAAAAACCTTCAAGAAAATGGCGTGAGCAGGGCTGTATAGCTTTGAGTGAGGAGGGCCATACGAATCCGTTTGGCCCTGCTCGAATCTGTGCGCTTTCTCTTTTTTAGCTTTTATTTACTATTTCTTGCTTTCTTTTTTATAATTTTTTTTTTCGTGAGGGTCATATGATAAAATGCTTGACTGAGTTAGGTCGGGCCATAAGGGAAAATATTAGGCTCTCAGTCATTTGTACAGACCACGCTGCGCTCAGTCCATACGGCATCACCTTGAGCCAAATATTTCCCCATATGGCCCTCCCACTCATTCAATAAGTACATATTATATACTTAGGCCAGGAGCCACAAGTAAGGCAAAACTCATCAGTTGTGTCAAAATAATTAATATTTTCAATGATCAACCTTAGGCTTTGATGAAGAAGCATGAAGCATTTGAAAGTGATCTAGCTGCTCACCAAGACAGAGTGGACCAGATTGTTGCCATTGCACAAGAGCTCAAGTAAGGATTTGTAAGGATAAGGATACATGTAATACGGACAACAAAGGGCCAGAAAAAAGTATCCATGATATAGAGATGACCTTAATATTATAGAGATCATAGAGTGCTTTTAGTCTCACTGTTGAATAGTTAGATAAATTTATCTAACTTAGATAACTATTTAGTTGACGTCGCCTAAAATAGTAAAAGCGTGCCAAAAAACGGTCATGCTAATCCGGGGGGTTGTTTTACCAGAGAATGAGTGAATAGACATTCATTTGTATCATCGTTTCTCCCCCTGATCTCAGTAGCTGTTTACTCGTAGTTTCAAATTTAAGTGACGTCACCTAAAATAGTAAATAACTTATCTAATTTAGTCAACGTCACCTATTCAACAGTGAGACTAAAAGCACTCTATCTATGAAACAAAAATGTATGGTGCTTTTACCCAGACCTAAATATCTGTTCGTAATGTAGAGGTGTCCATAAGGAGAGGTTCCTCTATTCTCTAGATATCATGAAGGCTTCACAAAGTAATAATTTTTATCCCTGCATTTAATCTTATTTGCTAGTTTTATCTAGGCTTCCAAAAAGACTTGAAAAACAATAATAAAACATTTACATTGATTTGTATATTTCTCGTTTTTTAGTGCATTAGAGTACAGTGAAATTGACAAAGTCAATTCCAGATGCCAGGTAGATAACTTTATTTTCCCATTTCTATTCTTTAAGATATGATATAGTTAATGGATCTAGGTATTTATTCTCTCTCCTCTTACTTATTTCCCATCCCTCCCATTCTTTTCTTCTTCTCCAGAAAATCTGTGACAACTGGAAAGACCTTGGTGAACTGACCATGCATCGTCTTCAAAAGCTTGAGGTATGAACGATATGAATTGGAATTTTTTTCCAAGTTCACTCCATTATTAAAATCCCATTCACCCCACTCCCTCGTTCTGCCATTTATTAGAGTCACCTAATAAGTGGTAAAAATTTCAATACTTGCACCCTATTTTCTCACTCCCCTTCCCCTCCCCCCCCCC